CCTTTAAAGTGAAGCATATGAATGTTTATTTATAGAACCCTGGTAGAAAATGTGATAGGATTAGAGGCCATGATGGGAAAAATACCTGTGCCTTGTTAACACTGCCTTACTTAGCCCCAGGTCCAGCAAAACTATTTAAGCGGCATGTGATTAACTTTAAGCATGACGCTAATCCCATTGAAGTTGATGGAACTACTCACATACTTAAAATTTGTGATGAGTTGAACTGCCTTGTTGGATCAGGGCCAGAGATTGTAGGGACTGTCTTTTCATTGTATTGTGTGTAGGGTGCCTAATGCAATGGGGCCCCGATCTCTGATGCGGGCTTTCTAGATGCTACCACAATGCAAATAATAAATATTCATACTAGCTAATAAAAACTGTATCTTTCACTGCTCTTATCCTCATGGAGCTGCACCTGTGTGAACGAGACACCGGATTTCCGTTGCTGTAAATACAACCCAAACATCCATCCATACCGAGCTTCTTTGACGAGCCAGCCAACAAGGTTCCAGTTGTGGGCATGGTTTTGTAATGTGGTCATTTGTCTACTGGGAAAGTAACTGAAACCAGTAAATTCCATGCAGGCCACCAACTAACCGTCAGACATTAACAATACTAATCTAGGGCTCAGTCCAGCAAGGCATTGAGCACTCTGGCCCCTGTCCAGAAAAACATGTACTTAAATCTGAGCCTGTGAGCAGTCCCAGTGAAGTCAGATAAGATCTCCATGCTCATATGGCGGGACCACTCTGCAGCCTTTGACACAAGGTACTACATGACACAGCAAGAGTAGACGGCCCAGCAGTACAGTCTTTCTAACCAACCCTCTCCAGCAGAACTCAGAGTACTGCTGGGTAGCTGCTCCTTTTCTCCTCAGGCCCCCACCTGTGGCGGGTCCCATACCCCTGGTGGTACGCAGAGATCTTCCGGGGGGTCCATCACCTCATTTAAATATTTGCCTAGTTTTACAACAGGCTACATAAAAAGCACTAGCAAAATCAGTACAAACTACAATTTCATACAGACAATGACTTGTTTATACTGCTCTGTATACACTGAAATGTAAGGACAATATTTATACTCCAATTGATTTATTTTATAATGATATGGTAAAAAATGAGAAAGGAAGCCATTTGTCAGTAATAGTGCGCTGTGACACGGTTGTACTTTTATGTCTGATTTTGTAAGCAAGTCGTTTTAAAGTGAGGTGAAACTTGGGGTACACAAGACCAATCAGACTCCTGAAAGGGGGACAGTAGTCTGGAAAGGTGGAGAACCACAGCCATAGGGCTCCTGACGATCCCTGCGTCTCTCCAGGATCTACAGGAGAGGGCTGGGAGAGCCAGGGAGAGACGGTGGAATTAGTTAGCCCAGCCTAACTGAGCATCTCTTGTCAGAGCTGCAGAATTGTAATGTGGGTGCAATTCACACCATGAAGGCACTGCAGACACAAATTAGTTACTTAGTGTCTAGAGCCCCTAAATTTCACCTGCCGTTATTTGGTCCCACAAAGTAAATAATATTTTTTTTAATTAAGAAATGAAAGAGCAACTGCAGGGAGGATTACAACAAAAGTCGATCCAAAAATACAATATACCCATTATTAATCATGCTGGACAAAGCTACCTGCGCTACACCGAGTTTTTAATCAGTATACTGGTCCTGGAGGGATTAAGGTATTTTTCTTGTCTTTGCTATTTTAGTTGGACTGTTTGCTGTTTGGGGAGGGGCACTGTGGATGTCTATACACAGCCTAGTGCAGGGGTCTCTGATCCTTGCTCAGGCCTCTAGGGGCAACTGTGACACAGATCAGTAATTATTTATTTTTTTAAAAGAAATAAAGTGCAAATAAATAAATGACATTAAAATAACTTTAAGGTTGAAAACTGAAAGACAAAAAGGGCAGGAAATGCAGATGTCGCGGCAACATTAACTCCTTCCGCCCATTGAATACGTGGAGTGGTTTTGATTATCTACAGGAGGGGTTCCCAACCTTTGTCTTTGAGGCCCCCGAACATGCTATAAAAACTCCATAGCCCACCTGTCCCACAACTGTTTTTCTGCACATAAAACCCAGGACCGGCATTAGGGGGTAGCGAGCAGGGCAATTGCCCTGGGGCCCCACACCACAGGGGGTCCCCCAGAACTAAGCTACTCAGGCTTCAGCTCTGCGTGGTGGGGTTCAGGGCAGCGGGGCTTTGGCTTTCTGCCCTGGTGTGCCCATCACTGGGATATCTAGGTGCCAGGCAGTCAAGTATTATTATTAAGGCGGTTATACCTTTGCACCTCAATTACACCTGGGCAGCCCCGTTGTCTTTCCATTGACTTCAATGGGCTTTGGATCAGGCCCTCTGGCCATTAGTCATTACCAGAAATAAATGCTGCTTTAGGAAAAGTAATCTGCCTTCCTGTTTCCCTTACATCTGCCCACTAACGTTATTGTCATGGTGATGCCGGAAAGCGAACACAAAGCAGTCAGGAAATGCAAAATGAATGTTGTGAGAGCAATGTTAACCTGTTGGCAAAGACACAGTCCAACTCTCTTCTCACAACCCCAGGGGAATATATCCTGAATTATGGCCCAGTCCTGCAAGGTACTTACTGAGCACCCTCATCTCCCAACTGACGTCAGGCCCTATAGCTCTTACAAGTGCTAGGTATTATTCATTAATTATTATTATTTATTTAAATATGCAGCACACAATAAATACCCTGTTCTCCCATGCTCTCCTGTGTGGGGGAAGCCCAGCTGGAGAATTCCGAGCCCAGGATTCACTGGCTTCTTGATCATCTTCACAAAAGAGTTTCAATACTTACTTCCTGGTGTTTCTCTGCCTTGCTCTCCTCTCCCTGTTTTTCGGCAGTTCTGTTCAGGCACTGGACCATTTCCACCATGTTGGCCAGCTGCCTGTTTGAGATTAAGTTTTCCTGCTGAAAGCTCTTCCTACAATGAGGACAACGGACCTCGGTTCCGGGATCTTTGCAGTGCTGGGTGATACAGGCTCGGCAGAAGCTGTGGGCACATTTTGTGATTATTATTGGGTCTTTAAAATACTCCAGGCAAAGAGAACAAGTCGCTTCGTCCTGGAGATTTTTGACAGGATTAGCAGCAGCTGCCATGGCCCCCAGGAGAGAGAAAAGACGTGAACTTTCAGTTTCTTTTATGCTTATGAAAAATTGTCCACCAGTGAGCTCAGAGGAGGAGGAGCCCTCTATTCTCTTTCCACTCATCTGTTACATAGGAGTCCAACCCCAGGTCGAAATTCTGCCTTGCCAAACATTTGCCATTGTATAATCTGTTAGTCTTCAAGGTGCCACCAGACTCCTTGTTGTTTTTGTAGATACAGACTAACACGGCTACCCCCTGATGCTTGTATAATCTAAATCATTAGATCTATAATAATATTTATAAGGATTTGTCCGTAGAGATGGGCTCCAATCACAAAGGCAGATCAGGATCTCAAACCTCTCCAAGTTTGGGGCAGTACAGATCTGGGATCTGGTTTTGGCTGGAAATACGCTTTTCCATGAGATGCCTCCCTCCTTCCGAGTTCGTTTTGGATGTTTGGCTCAATGTCACGCATTGAACACACAAAGCCTGGCTGCCCAGGACTGAGTGTTAGCAACCAGAGATCTGGCTGAAATTAATCATTACACGCTTAAGAGTCTCATTATACAAGAAGCCTCTTCAAGGGCAAGTGAACCGAAATAGAACTGTTCAGAAAAATGTCTCCTTAAAGGTATCGTATCCATTTTCAGCCTGGTCAATAAGTACAGCCAACCGTTCTCCCATTCCTTGTCCTCTGCCGCTCTCTTGTGGCCATTTCATTTCACACACAATCAGCCTGATTCTGAAAGCATCTGAACATCTGCAACTTCTGTGGAAGGCAGCAGCAAACCCTTAACCAGCACTACAGGGAATCCTCCATTCTTCTTGATAAAGACAGGTTGAAAAGAGCAGTTCAGTATTTAAAATGTACTGAAAAAGACAAGCAGGATAAAGTAAATAAAAAGCAATAGACAAAAATAAAACAAACGGATGGACGGGAATCAAGAGATAAAGCTCTAGACATACAAATAAATGGGGCCAGGTTCTGATCCCCTGCTCACACTGATGGGGCCTACTCCACAAGTGATCCCAGCGGACCACAGAGGCTGCGCTGGGCCAGGGATGGAGTCATGACCTTAGCAATTGGCACTCTGGAGGATTCTGGGCTGCTGAACAGTACTGAAGTAGCTCTAGGAGGTTGACCAATGGGATGACTTGTAGAGTATGGTGCCACTCCACACGAGTATCAGAATCTTGTCCAGAGAAAGCATATAGGACAAGCATGTCTCAGTAAGCATGTCCTTTTCACAATGAAGCCCCAAACTATGATTTAAGTTAGAGAGGGGTCTGAGCCACACAGGTTATGGCTACACGGAAGGGGTGATTGTAGGTCAGGTGGCATACCCACACTAGCTTTAATCTGTACAAGACCACCCAGTCCCCTAGGTGTGTACTCACATTGCTAGCCCAGACTGAAGCCGATGCTGCTGTGTCTCCATTGCTATTTTTAGCTGTGCTAGCTAGATTAAAGCTAGCCCAGGGATAACTACACATGCTGCAATCACACCTCCAATTGCAGTGTAGACATAGCCTAAGTTCAGTACGTGACCCAAACTTCCCCAAAGTTCTGGGGAGCTCTGGTCGGGGGATTTGGTTCAGACTTAACTTTATTTTGAACAGAGAAATTAAACCAGCCATGCAAAACTTTTTGAGGCGCAACAAAATGTTTATTGAAGCTCAAAATGCCTTCATTCGTTTTCTGAGAGCGAATTGCCTGGTTTTATGACAACACTCATATGACAGCTGGTGACACAGCAGATCTTTGGCCCCCAGCAACCATCAGCTGCAGCGTGGACCATAATTCTCGTGGGTCTGCATAGTTGGTAGCGAATGAGACTTTCCTGGGTGAAATTCTACAGCCTGGGTTATTCAGGGGGTCAGACTAGATGATGTAGTGGTTCCTTCTGGCCTTAAATCAATGAATCGTTGTTTTATGGTTTGGCTTCACAGTGTTTAGTTTGGATAAACTCGGAGCAAAAATCCAGGGACATAAAATCGTGTGGCTCAAAACCGAGCTAGGGCCTGAAACACCATTCGAGTCAACCGGGAGCTGTGCTATTGATTTCACCGGACACAGGATTAGCCTGTTAAAAGATTTTTGAATAAGAGGGTGAACGGAAACCAGCCTGATTCATCGAGTCTCCTGGAGAGGCAGAGGCAGCTCCACTGGCGTGATTATTGATGGGTCCAGGGACAAGTAGAGCTTGAGAAACAGATTGCTCAGGGCTGGATGACGATGAACTCGTTCGGATAAATAAAAGGAGGATCCAACCCAGACCTTTTTCTCAGAGATTCAGAAGAGTTCAGTTGAAACATTTCACCCACCCCCTGGCCTACAGGCACTTCCTTGTTTCAGCAGGAAGAGCGAGCTACTCTGGGTGTTTCAGGCAGACTGGAACATATCCGTAAGTGCAGGCAGCCTCACCATACATTTTGCTTGCAAGATTTCCAGCCTGATCTGCAGACTAAACCAGTCCGGATACAAAGAAAAACATGCTAATGGCTGGCTACTTGACTGGACCAGCCCTCTGAACTTTCAGTGAGAGGAGAGAATATTTCTCCGTGGTTAGAGCAGAGGACAAGAGGCCCAATTCACCGTTGCCCAATATTCATTGACACCGGCGCAGAGTGGGGATAAAACACGACGACATTACGCTGGGGTGTCTGCATTCCCTTTGCAGTGGTGGAAGTAACTGCATCAGGTGCAGGGTAATGGTGAATCAGGGCCTTGGAGTCATGGCCCCTGAGTCCTGTCCCCAGTTCTGGCACTGATTCACCATGGGCCTAAAGGCAAGTCAAAAGTGGCCTCTGATTTGGTGTGCCCAACTTAGGCCTAATTGTCAAGAGAATGTCGGCCCATAGCCCAAACTGTATTTGTGTGGTTTTGAGGGCCCTATGCTTCTGGATATCAAGCCCAAAGTGTCTCAGACTAGATGCCCAAGATCTGTCCTTGCTTTTGACAAAACTTGGCCTTACTCTCCCTGTCTGTCTGAGTCCCCATCTGTAATATGGGGTCAGAGTTGAGATCCTGGGATGAACGGTGCTGCACAGGGATTCCTTACTATTGTTATTACATAGGCAGTCAGAGCAGATCAAAACTGTCTTTTATTTTTCCATCATTTGGGGATTTTGTCATCAAAACGTACAACCCAGCAAAGGGCCTTAGACCCACTTATAAAAAAAGGAGGCAATCCTTTCATTCGAACCGTGGGACGCATCCTGGGAGGTTCCGAGAACCTGCTGAAGCCAACAGGAGTTAGGGCTGCACAGCCCCTCATCCATAGGCTGAGGGCTCAGCACTGGTATAACACTGCCCCCGCTGGAGTCAATGGTAAAACTCCCACTAGGTCACAGCTGGGTTGTGGGCAGCCAGACCTAATAGAGCCAAGTCCACGGCTACAAGACAGGAGTCAGAATACCAGGAGGTCAGACGCAAACCACAAGCTGGGAACCAGAGTCAGTCTGGGTCAGGATACCAGGGGATCAGAGGCAGGAGACAAACTGGATGTCGGGAACCGTGAGTCAGATGCCAGGAGATCAAGAACAGGGTAGAGCCCAGTTGTTCAGACAGCTTCCTGTTCCTGCTGCTGGCTTCAGTAGGGCCAACGGGCCAATCAGTTGCCCTGGGACTCTGCCATTTGGACTTCAGGAGCGGGGCCTTACACTGGGGCTGAGGTTCCTGGGTCTCAGGTAACCTGCTGCCAGCTGGCTGCTGGGTGGAGAGCTGGAGCGTGGCTGCTTCCATGAACCTTGTGGGCCCACGTTTGAGAGCCGTGGGTCATGACACACTGATTTCAGTGGGAGCAGAGTTTGGCCAGTGCTAAGCCCTTTTGAAAATCCCCCTGTAGGCCTTAACACTGGGATGCGGCGCTCTCTTCTCCTGGTCGTTGGCTCCAGTGCAGTCCATGTCAGGACATAACAGCGGCTGACAGTCCCATGAATTGAGTGTGGTTATCTCCGTCTGCTTCCTACTGCTCAGGTGACCACATCCCACCGATCACCATGGCCCTTGTAGGGTGGACTGGAATGAGCCCTGGAAATGCAATCCCGCGCTCCCCTCTTTCCAGGACAGAAGACAAAGGCAAAAACAGTTGTCAGCTGGTAAAGTGTCTCTGAGTTTATCTTCCCACCTCAACCCATGTGCCCAAGTCATCTGGTCTGGTGGTCAGCGCAGCCCGAGAGTGGCCTCTGCTGAAATAGGAACAAGACAGAGACAATTAATGGCACCCAGAACTAGTAACGACCAGGTATGCGTGATGCCGAGAACCAGACCCTTGGCCAGCTTAATAGGCCAATTGAGAATTCCCCTGGCCTGGGGGACCACCGGGCAGTGTAACTGGTTCTATGCCACTGCCCCTCAAAGCCCCCAGTGAAGGAAGCATGGCTGGATGTAGGAACACGAGGGAGGGGTGACCTGTCTCCTCCCCACCCCACTCCCTCCCCTTCCAGAAGGATCTGGGGGAGGTGATTTCCTTTAACAAGAGTCCAAGAAGCTTTAATGAAAGTTTGTCTTTTCAACACACAGCCTGTTTGGGCTCCTTTTTGTGGCGAAGGGAACTGGGAAATTCCCCAGTCACTCACAGAGTCCCAGAAATCTGTCCCAGGGCATGGCCTCACAGCCTGGGCAAGCAACAAAGATTCCTTCATAGTCTCTCTTATCAGCCTGCAGGTGCCCTGCCCCAGCTGACACCCTTGCAGCTTCTCAGCATGAGTAAGTCAGTCAGGTTGGTCCAGTCTCTTCCCTTCCCCACCCAGGCCTGCTTCAGCTCTCTTGCAAGGAAGCGGCTGCTTGAGGTTCCTTCTCTGCGCCAGGTGGCTCTGGTTGGCTCATTCAGCAAGCCTCAAGTCTCCTGCAGGGCGGCTCCCTCGCTCCCTTTCACTCCTTCACTCTCTCACCGAGCAAAAGGGGACACGGCTAGAGGGCCTCTGTGCTCCAGCTCTTCCTGACTACCAAAATGGCCTGCTGGGGCCATGAGGAGCCAAGTGTAATGTAGAGCGATCCCTGGCCAGCCCCAGAGCTGAGGAACTGCAAAGCGGAAACCACAAACCTTTGCCTTGCTCCTTCCTCCCCACCCCAGGTGCTGTACTGAGCAGAGCTTGGCCAGGCAGAGGGACTGGGCCCTGAGACTGCACCGCAAGCACTTGGGATTTAGGGTCTGGCTTGATGGTGCATTCAGTTACATTCAGGGTATGTGGCTTTCCCCCCAGACCTGTGAATTCTCCTTTGGCTCTGCGCCTTTGACCCTCCTCATGTTCATTCCCCTGCTGATTCTGCCTGTCAGTTTTGCGAGCTATTTTCAGCCATGCCTGTGAAGCCCTATTATAGCTGATGCCTCCTTTGGAACATTTCCTATCTGCAGCCAGGAAGCTCTGAGGGCTGAGCCCAGCTGCCCAGGCTAGCTACAACTTCCTCTCCCCACCCCGCCAATACAGTGCTTCTCTGCAGCTTGAGAGTTATGATGATGTGAGTCATCAGACCGAACCATCACAGGGCTTCCAAGAAACAGGAACCCTGCCTGCCCCAGCGGTTGTGCCAGCGCCAGGGGACCGGGTTCAGTGGTGTCTGTGAAGCTCTCAGAGGCTCTGGTGAGGACAGCCATAGAAATGCTCCTAAGTAAATCCCTTGTTTGGCCATGATTTTTAAGCTGACGTTGTCCCACTGGTCATGAAGGGACAGATTGATCCCTACACTGTCACAGTTGCCAGTGCAGAAGCAGCTTGTGCCCCCTCTATTCAGGAGATCTGGGGACCAGTGCAGCCCCCAATTCAGTCTAGAGCTGCCCTAAGTAGTTGCTGGGACCCCAGTGGAGCTCTGCTGGGGCACAGGTCCCTCTTGGCCATGCCCTGGTCCCACCCACATTCTTCTCTGCCCATGTCTGCTGCGCTTGGGCAAAGCAGCCCTACCACCAGGGATATTCGCTGAGGGGACCCTAGCACCAGCCTAGCTGGCATAAAGAGGCCACAGAGCAATGATGAACCAGGCACAGAAAGTCCAGTTTCCTGGAACTCACCACTAGTCCTAGGCTGCCACAGGCTGGGAGATGACTTCATTCAAAGCCGCTATCCACTCCTTCTGCTCCCTGTCGTTTTCACACACAAACACAAACTTCCTGTGTGGCGTGACTATGGTGAGCCCAGCTTTCCACCTCTTCCCCCTGACTCCTCTGGGCAAGCCAGCCTGGACCTCATATCCCTGCTCTTTGCTTCCAATAAAAACTCGGCCCAGTTCAAAGGCATCCTAGGTAGGAGAAAGCAGGACAATCACGGACCATATTACAGGGGTTCATTGCTGCTCAGGGGTGGCACCGTGCTGTCATCGGAAAGGCAGGAGCAATAGGTTCCATATGGAGGGGAAATTGCCCTGGACCCAGTGTAGGTGGACCCAGGGGTCAGGGAAAATCCCTGAGATTTATAAACCCAAAAGCATTCTCAAAATAGGGAACTGCAGATTTTGGAGCTGGCGGGGGCACGCTTGGTCAGACCAAGACCCCAGGGAGGATGTCCTGTGTTTAAAACACAGCACTGGGAAAGCACAGCGCTGGGGTCCATTCCAGGCTCTGCCTTATTGTTCATCTTACCCTAAGTACCCTAGACAGCTGCTACCCAGGGGCAGGGAGGTGGGCACAGCCAAGCTTTCAAAAGAGCTCAAGGCCAGATCTCCACGTGCTCTGCTCCCGACGTGCACAGCTCTCTTGAAAATCCAGCCACTCGCTACGGGGCCCAAATGGGTGCTGTCACCGGAGGATGGGTGGGACAGAAACAGCCCTCTCCCTTCCCTCTGCGAAGGGGCTCCGCTTACAGAATGAGGGCTCCTCTTACCAACGGGTCTTTAAAGTAGAGCAGGTTCCTCTCCTGGGAGTCCAGGCTGAACCAGCGCTTCTTAAAGGCCTCCATGTGCTACAGAAAGAGAAGCAGGTCTTTAATGATCGGTTCCCAGGAGCAGGGGTTCTGCCAACTCATGGCAGGCCTCTGGTATCCTGCTAACGCTGTGCATTGGCTCAGTTTCAGTTCCGCAGTTCTGTGGTTCACCATTGAGCCTCACTTTCCTTCCCCTTCAATGTTAACACGAGTGACTTATGTACATTCGTTACCAACGTATAATCTTCAGCGTAGGCAGAAATGGAACTGAGCCGCTCGCTCCTCTGCACTGAGCTTGGCAGGCCCTTCTCTGGGGCTTGCTTCTGCTTCCACAGAATTTAGACTTTCATTAAAAAAACAAATGTCTCTAGCCCTCCTGGTTGGGAGCCTTCCAAGGCCAGGTGCCAGGGTGCTACCTGCAGGCAGACATACTGAAACAACTCCTGTTTACCCTGAAGTAGCCTAACAAACACTACTTTCAGACCAGCATTATGTGCGTCACTGCTGATCCTTTAAGCAGTAGCAGGGACTCAGGATGGAGCTTGAGTGTGTGTTGGGGGGCGGGGGGGAATTAGGGAATGTCAGAGAAGCAACAGAGCCTCACCACTTGGTTTCCAATCTGACCCCTGGTCGTGATCCCAGCAAAGAAAACCGAATTCCCCCATTCCACTTACTGAACCAGTGGGCTAGGACTATGGGCCTACATACAGGAGGAGAACAGATAAGGGCAGAGGATTGCATTAGGCTGATCAGCATTGTAATGCTTCTGCTATACTGGGTGTTATATGGTGTTACAGACCTGCAGTTAACAAAGAAGCTCATGATACAGCCACCTCCTTGTGATAAATAATATAACTTTGCAATTCCAGAAATACTGGCCCCAATGATTTCATCACACTTTTAGTTGGTCACACCGTAGAAGGAACCCTCAAAGTTATCTTCATGCAGAAATCCCAAAACACTTTATAAACTGAAATACACTCTATGCCAGGGGTGGCCAAACCTACTGGCCCTCCAAGCCACATACGACAATCTTCAGAAGTTCGAGAGCCAGGGATCACCTGCTGGGAGCCGGGGGTTGGGGCTTCAGGCACCTGCCAGGGTTCAGGGCTTCAGCAGGAGCAGGGCTGAAGCCCCAAACCCTGGCAGGTGCGCCCTGCAGGGCTGAAGCTCCAAGACACCCCCACCCCCGCTGTGCAGAAGCCCCGAGACCCCCTTCCATGCTGGGCAGAAGCCCCCACTGCACCACTCTGCTGCACGGCAGAGGTCCTGAGCTTTCCCCTCGCCCCAGTCTGGTAGGTGGAGAATGGGGTGGGGGGCTCCGCGAGCTGCACTTTCATGGTAAAAGAGCTGCATGTGGCTCGCCAGCCACAGTTTGGCCACCCTTGGTCTATTTCATTTAACTGGGGCTCACTTAAACATGACTCCTAGCAAACTGCTTCATCATAATCATGGCAGTATTAGTAAACATACTACTTCAGGGGAAGAGTCATGTTTGGCTAGTGCCAAGCATTTAAATGGTGCTTAGCTAGGTATGAAATTCAAGTGGAGCTACCTTTGGCCCTGTTTTCTCCATATAGCCTTCTTTGAAATAATTCCTTGTAATCCTGGGTATGAGCTAGAAGAACACAAGAGACATTGGTTACCAGCTCAGTCACACCCAGCGTTCTGGTCTAATTTGTCAATGCAAACGATCAGCAGGGTTTTGCTTGTTTATCTGTCTGTCTACTTAATAAAGGGAAGGAACATACGTTCATTCTGTTAAGGATCACATTTTAAATGGAGACCATATTTTAGATCCCACGCTTGATCTACCTTTGTATGCTGTATGTATACAGCATGTTCCCCCCTTTCTACGTTGTCCTGAGCACACCCTACCAAAGCTTACCTGCTAACCGGTACTAAATGAGCTGTTGTCTGGTTATATTGGAAGTGGAGACGCTAACCCTACCTATGCTTGATCAAAGTCAACAGCATGTTGGGGACAGAAGAAAAACACACACACACTCTCTCTCTCTCTCTCTCTCTCTGTCATGTCAATGGAAAGGAGAAACACCAACTAAAATGCAGAAATAACCTGGAAGCTGCCCGATTGATTGGCAGACTCCACAGGGCGTCTTTCTGCTTACGGGAGTAACGTTCAGTACTACACTTCTGTGTATGGCTGACCATGGAATACTCCACTAGGAAAGGACCAGTGCTAGCATCTACAGGGATATGAAGGGGTTAATGGAGTCTAGCCTAGGTGCCAGAAGACTGAGAGTAACTAGCCAGTGGCAGCACTGGAGAGAGAGGATGAGAGGGCCTGATGGGATGCATGGAAAGTCAGACTGTAAGTGACTGACAAATATAACATGGAGCGTGAGGGTCACAGCACATGGACAGAAAGAAAATGGCTAATGGAGAAACAAAAATTCAGTCAAGCCATTAATTCCCCATTATGGGCTAGAGAAGCTTAGAAAGAAACATCTGGTCAGTTTGAGAAAGGATGATATTTTGCCCTTACACAGCATCTGAAAGTTCCTTTAAAGAAATCATTGAATGATGCTTCACAAGACCCCCCTTCAGGTTGGTCATTAGTACTAGATGGGTAAATTGGGGCATGGAGAGATGAACTGACTCAGCTGAGTAAGCAGCAAAGCTAAGAACAGAACCCAGAAGTCCTGGCTTCCAGTCCCTGGTGCTTGCCATTAAACCTGACTTCCCTCTATTTATTTTATTTATAGCAAATGAATCCCAAAAAAGAGAATCCCCAGCAGTTCAGGTTGAAAGATCCTAAGAACGTATGGTGCCATGGAGAAAACAGATCTATGGTCTCCCAATAGGTCTTATCTAAACAAGCATTACAGAACTACACTCTACAAAACGGCCTCTATATGTGTTTGGTCTGCAACTGTTTATACACAAAAGTTACAATTCCCACACAGAGGAATTTTTGCCCATGCCCATCAGGTACTTCGATATCTAAGTACCCAGTCTGCGTGCATCAGGGCCAGCTTCCCACATGACATTGCTTCCACATGCAGATCTTGCAGGCGGAAGTTTGGTGGCAAGGCTGAAGTAGGCTGGAAATTAGGTGCCATACGAGTCTCTATCAAAGCCCATCATTGTGGTCCCTCCCACCCCGCAAGAAGGGAAAATGAATGCAGGAGGAATTCCCAATGCTGTGCTCCTATTGAAGAGGGCACAAGCACAGAAAGGAAGATGATGCTTTTTCACGCTTAGAGCACCTTCAGTTCTCACCTCGGCCTCAGGAGCGGTGGGGAAGGTGGTTCTAAGGTAATGGAAACGCGCTGCCCGAATGGCATTGAACCAGTCAACAATTTCCTAGGGGAGACGGTAAATACAGATGTAATGACAGGAATAATGTGGTGGGATAATGCTGCTGCCTCTCTATAGCACCTGTCACCCAAAGGAGCTGCAGGCTCTTTGCAAATATTTATTGTTTCTTCCAGCAGCACCTTGGGGAAACTGAGGCGCAGAGAGGGTGACTCGCCCAAGGTCACATAGTGAGTCAGTGGCAGAGCTGAGAAGAGAACCCAGGAGTCCTGCCTTCCAGTTCTTAGAAAGACATTTCCTAGAAAAGACAAGCGTCGACTGCCATTAATAGGAAGTAGCACACGTTGCCTGTGGTTCATGTTTGGGATGAATGAATCACATTAACACATTACAAATATAAGGTATATATCACTATTCGTAATGATAGAACCATAGGAACATAGGACTGGAAGGGACCTCGATAAGTCATCTAGTCTAGTCCCTGCACTGAGGCTGGACTAAGTATAACCTAGACCATCCCTGGCAGGTGTTTATAATAAATTTGAGAACAATGCTATTTTAGTCACTGATACAGCAACACCTGTACTGGGATCAGGCGTTGTGGCCTGTTTTTTATGTGTTTCCAAGACATCCCAGATATTAAGACATCAAACATCAAGAATAATTTAGAAAATGCCCTTTCAAGAAGGTTCCAGGTATAATGGGAACACATTCCTATTGGGATACTGATTAGACTCTAACTCACAGAGACTGTGGGAATAATTTTTAATTGATTCGATGAGCACTTGCTTAAAACCTTTTGAATTTGGATTTGTCTTGGGTGTGAGTACCTGGCTTGAGGGCACTGGCTTGGGGAACAATCATGCTTCTGAGAAAATCAGAAAAACCTCTGTAGATTTGATCTAAGACTGAGAGTTGTTTTGGAGAGAATTAAAATGTAAAACATGCCGATACTCATGAAAAACACTGTATAAAATAGAGACCATCACAACGCTTCCTTGAATATAATTGCAGAATTGTATAAGTCAATTATACAAAGTTAGGTCCCAATCCTGTAAAGACTCATGCACGTGCTTAACTTTTGGGACAATAAGTCGACCCATTGACATTAATCACAGCACATGAAGTAAGCACGTGTAAGTCTTTGCAGGGCCAGGCCCTTACTAGAATTACCAACTTTCTAATCGCACAAAACCGAACACCCTAGCCCCGCCCCTTCCCCAAGGCCCCTCCCTCGGTGGCTCACTCTCCCCGACCCTCACTCACTTTTACTGGGCTGGGGAGGGGATTGGGGTGCGGGAGGGGCTGAAGGCTCTAACTGGGGAGGGAGGCTTCAGGGTGGGGCCAGAAATGAGGGGTTCAGAGTGCGGGAGGGGGCTCTGGGCTGGGACAGGGAGTTGGGGTGTGGGAAGGGGTGAGAGCTCTGTCTGGGGGTGTGGGCTCTGGGATGAGGCTGGGGATGAGGGGTTTGGGGTGCAGGAGGGCTCCATGCTGGGGGGTGGGACTGAGGGATTTAGAGTGCAGGAGGGGGCTGCAGGTTGAGGGGTTTGGGTATGGGAGGGGGTATGGGCTCTGGGGTGGGGCTGGGGATGAGGGGTTTGGGGTGCAGGAGGGGGCTCGTGGGTTTGGGGGGGCTCAGGGCTGGGGCAGGGAGTTGGGGCTCGGGGTTGGGGCACAGGCTTGCCTTGGGAGGCTCCCAGTCAGTGGCACAGCTGGGCTAAGGCAGGCTCCTTACCTGTCCTGGCTCTGCACTGCGCCCTGGAAGGGGCCAGCTGGTCCGGCTCCTAGGCGGGGGGCCAGGAGGCTCCAAGCACTGCTCTCACCCGCAGGCACACCCCCCCCCAGCTCCCATTGGCTGCAATTCCTGGCCAATGAGAGTGCAGAGCCAGTGCTCGGGGCAGGGACAGCGTGCGGAGCCAGACCTGCTGGCTGCTTCCAGGGCACAGTACAGTACCAGGACAGGTAGAGACTAGCCTGCTTTAGACCTGCAGCACTGCTGACCAGACTTTTAACGGCCCGGTCAGCAGTGCGTTCCGGTCGAAAATCAGACACCTGGCAACCCTATCCCTTACAGAGCAGCAGGAGACAGATATTAACGGGTACTTGTAGCTAATAATACTGTAGAATTCTGCAACTATAGTCTGCAAATCTCTTGTGATTTCAGCTGAGATTGAAAGAGAGAGATGCAGAGACATCTTCCATGTTACAGACTCAGTGTGCAAGAGTCTACCTTATTAATTACAAAATCAATGTGGTATTTACCTTTCCACTTTCATGATAGACAAAGAGGTTCCTTGTCTGACCTTCTTTGCTGTAGGTGATCTGCAGCCCATGAGGGTTTCTGATTTTCTCCGTCTGGAACATTGCGTTCAGATCCTTTATGCTGATCACAGCTTTCGGCCCTTTAGACTGTGGAATGGAGAATGTCACCGGGGCAGCAGTGACCTTACAGAGGCTAATCAAGAACTATGGAGACAAATGATCAATAGGCCCCTGTAGAGCTGCAGACCAGCTTCCTGCAATGTCTGATGCTGGCAAGGGCACTGAACTGACCACCCTGCACTAACTGAAGAAGCCTGATGCCTTGATTACCCGCGTCACGTATAAACCACATTTTACTCTAAAGAATGACTTTTTCTTTGAGAAACGATGTTGTGCAACTCCAGTCTCTCCAGTCTGATTGTCTAGAGAACCATAAATTACAAGGTTGCCATAGATGGTAGACATGCGTGATGCGGGAGGGACGAGGTGGAGTGCAGGGTCCTATGCATGTGCATCGAGAGAGCTCTGCTGGTAAAACCAGAGGTGACTCCTGACAGCAGAACCCTTCTTCCTCCTCCTGCTTAACTGCCCAAGTCTCTTTTCCCTGGTTCACCAAAGAGACGGGGATGAGGCTGCCGGGGGGCCAGAGGAGGTGGGGAGAAGGGCCAGGTGCTCCCATGTAGGAAGGGAGCTGAATCAGACATCACAGATGTTACCTGGCACAGGGTCTCCAACCTCCCCCCCTCCAAATGCAGGGTTGGGCCTGGCAGCAAAGTCTAGAAAGCAGCAAAATGTTCAGCAGTTGTGCCTATGGGGACAGTGATGGTGCACTGGTCAGACTGGACACTGACCAGTCGCCGGCTGGGGCACTCACCTCTTTGGTGTAGTACTTCAGCACACCTTCCCTTGCCGACAAGAGGAACTGCCTCTTCAGGAACTGCCTGCTGTCCCGCCCGCGCTTCCACAGAAATCCTTCACGGCTGCCTGCAGACGCTAACGAGAGCAAGGGAACCTCAGAGCTAGAGCCAGGGCAGCACACGAGCTGGGCAGTTTGTCTAAGTGGATTTCTAGGCACTCATTTCGCCTTGGAACTATGGAGCAGTGGAGAACAACCATCTTTCATTCAGCCTGACGCCGGGACCCAATCCTGAGAGGCACTGGATGTCTCCCGGGACGGGCTGAACCTCCTGGAGGTCGGTGAGAATTCCTCAGGTCCAGGCTGAGCCTAGCACGTTTTGGGCACTCCTGCCATCTAACTAACACTGATGACATGCTTCCGTCATTTGAATGTTCTCTCTTCATAGCCCTCCCTGGACTGAAAAGCTCCTTTCTATAGGAGGAATATTAGACACTGGAGTGGAGTGGTTAGAGCAAGGACTTGGAAGTCTGGACTCCTAGATCTTAGTCCTGTTACTTCTTTTGCAGGATCGAAGTCAGTTAATCATTCTGTGCCTCAATTTCCCCACCTGTACAATGAGAAATCTGGATGCCTCACAGAGTGGTGGGGAGAATGACTGACTGTTTGGAAAGCCTTTGGGAGCCTCACGGGCTATAGCTCTCCTACTGTTCTCTGTTACAATTCACAATCTCCCGGGGAGAGCTGGCTGGCCTCTGTCAGATGACTCGGGCTGTAAACCTGAGGTATAGACACTGGGGCTCATGCTGGAGCCTGCGCTCTCAGCCCCTTCTCCCAGAGCGCAGGCTCCAACTCAACTGTCTACATTGCACTTTTACAGTCCTGCAGCCCACGCCGAGACAGGGCAGCCAGGGGTGTTTAATTGCAGTCTAGACATACCCTGCAATGACTTGTCCGAGGTCAGAGAGTCAGCCGGAGAGCTGGGAATAGAACCAGGTCTCCCAACCCCGCTGCTCCAACAATGGCCCATGTTGCCTCCCTAAACCAGGCACCTGGGTGCTCACATTGGACTTGAGGTGAGAAAATGTCTGTTTGAGTTGCCTAAAGGCCAATCTGAGTGTCCCCATGTGGGATTTCTTATTCAGATGCCCACCCTCAGAAGCCGGGCCTCCCAGGTGAGAGGATTTGGGCTGGCCACTCAGACAGATCAAACAGGACGAGGGTTTCGCAGCTGACTGAAAACAAAGTCGTTCCAGCTACTCCTCGGCATCAGGCTGACACACACAGGGTTCCAGTTCTTGGGACTTGGGCCTCACCAGACTAAAAACCCTCCACAGACAATCACCTGAGGAACCTGTTTCATGGCAGACACTGGTGGCAACAAACTCTTCCCGCTCGTATTTAGCTCTGATCCATTGTTCTTTTAAAACCCTGAAGAGAGGAAAGACGTGTTAGTTGGATCTGCCTCTGTTTCCTTTCACTGACGTTGCACAGTCCTTTCCAGCGACGTACAGAATGAGGCCAACCAATACTTCCTGACACATAGAAATAGACAGCTTCTGAGTGGTGCAAACTCACTCTAATTCCCCTGACTCCAAGGAGAGCAACTGAGGCCAGCAAGAAAATATAACTGGGAAAGTGGGCAAAACATTTAGTAACTGTTTGCCTAGGTAACACAGCCTGGTCGGAATGGCTATTTGCTGGCAGCAGAACTAAAATCACGCTCATGTTATTTCTCTGGCTGCAGGTTCCAGGCAAGCTGCAAGAAGAATCTTGCTCCCGAAAGGGCAGAGTAATTAACACATGTGTTTCTGTAGGGAGGCGGAAATATAAGCGGCGAACGGGAGGAAATGAAAACCACCCAAAGAACTAGCCCAGCTTCCCTAGCCCTCGGATACACCAGAGAGATGCTGCAAAATGGAGTTTGGGGGGCATTCGGATCCCAGTCAGAAACCACTGTTCCTGGGAGGGTTCAACACAGAGGAATTTGCAGATTCCCTGCCTGCACCATGCAACCTAAAGCTGGATGACCTGTTCCCATCTCGGATGCTGGGATGTTTGTGAGCAATGCATTGTACGACGAATCTTCGGGCTTGCGGTGAAGGCAATGTAAATTGACAGAGCCCCACTGATTCACGGCAGAAGAGGCTCTGATCCTTAGATTGCAAGCTCTTTGGGGCAAGGATCATCCTGTTACATCCTGCTTAGCACAATGGGGCCGTGACCTCTAGGTGTTACTGCGACCCAAATAATCATAGCAGTAATAAGTCACTGTGAATTGTTGAAAACATCTGGGACTTAGAACTGGAAAATGCTCCAGGACACGCTGGAGCTAAATTACAGGCAGCCAAGCCTAGAGTAACACAGGGAGAGTGGGGAGTTTTCTCTGATCGATCCTATCACTGGGAAAACCAGCTCCCCACTTTCTGTTCTCACAACCTTGGGCTCTCCTCTATGGCCTGGGACCAATCCTTAACTGGGGGAATTCATGTAACAAGGCAGACTTGAAATAGGAAGTGGAGCAGAGTGAGGGGGTAGAGGAAAGAATCATAAAATTGTAGGACTGGACGGGACCTCGAGAGGTCTAGTTCAGTCCCTTGCACTCATGGCAGGACTAAGTATTATCTAGGGGAACTCCTGTTATGCTGGAACACAGGGCGCGATTAAGAGTGAAGCCCAGGAGGGAGATCGGGAAAGCAGGGGAACTCCTATAATTCTACAGCACAGACAGGCCTGAGAATGAGGGGGAGTCCAACTAGAGAGCAGATCCCAACAGATCTCTCATTTAATCCTCTCTTTCCTACTTTAGTTCCTTTAACCTTCTATTCCAGCCTTTTGCATCTTCTTAAAACCTCAGGTGACATCTCGGTGCGGACTTCCTGCTCATTCTGAACATGGCCTGAGAACCAGGTCAAGGCCCTAATTGCCTGGCCAAGATTAAGATGATCAGATGTCCCGATTTTATAGGGACAGTCCCGATATTTGGGGCTTTGTCTTATATAGGCACCTATTACCCCCCACCCCGACCCGATTTTTCACACTTGCTGTCTGGTCACCCTAGCCAAGA